CTAGTTTATTGTAGTCCTTCCAGCAGCCGTCTGAGCTGTCAGGAGCCACTGATATGATACAGTATCACAACCGCATGATTAAGAGTTTGTCAGTAGTACTCCAGCTGTTTCCTTGTCATTAACAATGCTAGCTAACATACATGAGATCTCCCAGAAGGACATCTCACAGTTTTCTTTTTGAGTTCAAAGTTGCTCTAAACAATATTTTTATTTTAACAAGAGATTAAATGACTTAAATATAAATATATAATTGGTAGTAACAAGCCCAGGGGAAATTAAAAAAAAAAGTGGTTTACTAAAGAGCAAGATCTCTTTTGTCAGGAGCTGTCAAAACAGACCTAAAAAGGTGTTGACACAAACACAGATCACAACACTGTAATGTTGCTCTGTAGCAACACAAAGTATTGTTTCTGGTGCCCCCAGTGGCCAGAACTATCTGGTATTGTAGGTTTAAGTAAAATGCATGACAGTTTCTGTGTCACTATTTGCTCACATTTTGCTTTGTTGTAGAACATCTGCCTTGGTAACACACTGTTTACCAACGCTGCATCTAAAACAAAGAATTTCATGGCACTGTAGCGCTGAAGACACTTCACACAATGACTACACCACCTTTTTGCTTATATCACAATGTTACTCTAATGTTAGGTTGGAAACTACTTGTCACAGATTACAGTTTGTTTTCAGTCGAGCATTGCTAAAATGGTTATATTTGGACCTTGACTCCACCCTGAGGTGTAGCACCCACCTCACCCCCACCGTCACCTAACTATACCCTTACAGGAGAAAATTACATTTCTTGCAAAGACACTTAGAGAAAACCATTCCTTTGTGAAGTTCCAGTGGTTGCATGTGACTGCTTATAAAACAGACGGTGGCCCATTAGAACCAAATTAGGTCTTTACACAGTGTTATGAAATAGACCTTAGTTTCACCATAGCAAACTGAAGTTTAGAGACGGGTAACTAGCGGTTATAAAACACTGTGGCGTTTGTACTGAAATGAGTTCCTTTTTGTTTTCACTTTTCTTCTCTGCCTTCTCTGTCACCATCTCCATGGTTTTTGATTAATTGATATTCATCTCCATCTACAGCCTCGCTCTTGTTCTTGACGCCCACCCTTGATTATCAAACCTATGAATATTTCACATGAGGCCAACCTTGTTATTCTAACATACTATCAGACTGTGCCCACAGGCATTCAGTCCACGGGAAAGGATTAAAGCTTTTCCTGAAACAAGACTCTGTTCAGTTGTATTGCTGACCAGTGCTGTTTTAATCAGTATCATTATTATTATTTGGATCATAACACACAACAAAAATCTTAATCTCATTAAGTCATTGATGTTTACTGAATCATAACGACACTGGTGAGACCCTGACTCTTCTTTTAGTGGCACCTTGAGGTTGGCATTTGTGTATTGGATGTGAAATGTTTCAACAGCTGCTGGAGGCATTGTCATGAAATTTGGTGCGTATACTCAAGTTCCCCTCCAGATGAACTATAATGATGTTAATCCCTTGAATTTTTCCAGTGCTTTTTAGTGCCAAATATTTTGGTTTATGACCAAATACCTGCAAAACTGATTATCCTCAGCTGTATTTCATTCTAGTGTTTTTATAAGCTTGTTATTGTCACTGTGAACACATTATCAAGTAACATTAGACATACATAAGAGACAAGATGTCGGAGTAGATAGTCTGTACAACCACTGAATCAGTTGAGGCAGAACAAGGGGGGATTTTATGTGCTTGTCTGGCCACTGAGAGACATGAACAAGGAAACGCAATGCAACCAATTGCTATTGTTGCAGTCTGCGTCATCACAACGTGTAGTTATATTTCTGGAGAGGTGCATGTCACGCTACGGCGTAGGGTAGATACAATGTAGACCCATAAACAGGCTTAAGGCTTACTGGCACACTGGATAAGAAACATATTTCTTGCAGTACTTTCAGGGTGAGTAAAATCAACACATCTGCATATTTCTCCGGACTCCTTGTGGTATGAAAAATTCAGGCTCTGGTACTTTGATCTCTCAGACATACACAACCTTCAACCTGTTTGCTTTCAAAGAGACCCCTGGTGTTAGAAACCAATAATAATTGACTTTAACCTTAAATCCAGCATCAATGCATCAACAAACCCGCAGGATTACAGTACTGGCTGTGTGTTGGTTTTTAAAACAAACAACAAAATAAGACAGCATTTTTATTAGTATGTATAATTTAACTTCAGCTGCTTTGTTATCCCTTTGCTTCTTTGGTAGTGATACCTGCTCTGTATTTTTCCTTTTCAGGACTACCTTAAGCCTTTCAATGGACTACCTGAGACTCGCTGCTCAGACACAGGCCTCATGCACACGTAAATGAGGAGCGTGGTTCTATTGTTACCAGAGTGGGTAAACTGCCCCAGGGAGGAGAAAGGCTCCTTTGTTTCTCCTCTAGACAAGAGACGTGAGTGCGCCATCACTTGAAACACTCCGTGTCTGGGCTGCACACCCTAATAAAGCTCTCTGGTTTTGTATTACACCCAATCAGTATACCATGAGTATGTGCACTAGACACACTTGTGTGGAGTGGAGGGCAGTGGATGAGTCTGTGTTTCTGTTTTTTAGTTTAAAAGGGAGATTCCACTTAAATTCCTCCTCTTTCATCTGTGTTATGTATACAAAGTGAGATTACTATCTTAAGGAAAGGTATATACAGTACACGCAATACACACCCTATGGTATAGTACATGCTATTTTTGCTAGACAAGGTGTCACACTATAGACCAGATTGTCATCTATCTGCATCCTTTCACATAAGGTGCAGCTGTGTTTTCACACTGGGTAATAGGGAAGACTTCAAGTGAATCACTGGTATTCATAAGTGTCTGCAAGCACGTGATACATATTAATCAAGATAAACATACAGTACAGACACATACACACTGATTTACAAAGACGGTAACACTTTACAATAAGGGTACATTAATTAACCATACTTAATGCAGTAATAAGCATTAACTAATAGTAACTAATGCATTTATTAAGCATGTACTAATGTTTTTCATGTTAATTAAAGTATTACCTCATACATTATTTAATAGTTTTTAACGACACTGCTAATATTTGTTGATGCAGTAATAAGCATTCACTAAACGTTAAGTAATATAATAATAAGCATTGCATTCAACGACTTAAATGTCTCTTGGTAATACTAGTAAATTGTCAATAAAGATATTAACAATTTATTTCATGAAGTTCACAGCTTAGCAGTTTCATTAGGAGAAGGCTGTTTTAATGTTCATTTAAGCATAATAATTGTCCACTTACTTGTCCATCCTCCAACCAACGAATTCACTTTGTCCTCGCTCCACGTTCATCTAAGGTGGTATCTTCCAGCTTCTGATTGACTGAACACACATGATGCAGGTATGCAGCAGTGGACAGGGCATGGATAGTTGGAAAGCATACACGGTGGTAGCTCTCAAGGACCTGACTTGCCCACCCCTGCTGTATGCTGTAAGCATTACTTACTCATACAGTAGTGAGTAACCATTACTTAACCTTAATTAACCATTTGTTAATGCTCTTTGTGACGCTTATTATAAAGTGGGAACCATATATGCATGAACTAACACTTCATAAATGCATACAAGTGCTAAAAAATCATTTTTTAACCATAACTAATCAGGTACTACTGCTGTTTGTGACCCTTGAATATTTGAAGCAATCACGCAGATACTGAACATTAGTGAAACATTTCCAAATGGAATTTAACTCGTCATAAGCATCTGTTATCAACATGATTCATTCCAAATTTAAAAAGATGAAGACTTCATGCAAAATCTGAAAAAGTGCCGTTATTTTATTTTAAAAATATAACACAACATTCTTTCAAAGGAATAACAAAACAAGGATTTTACAGTTTCACAGAAAAAACAACTCTTCCTCATGTCCCTTGCATCTTATTTTGAACAAAATCTTCATGTAAAGTCTATAAAACCATTAAAAACATATTTGTGAGTGAAGAGGAGCTTTAAAAATGCGGATTAATTCATTTGAACAAGAACATTAAAAACTAATGCCTGAATGAGGCAGGTGGGGGGTCGGAGAGAGAGGGAGGTAGCAGGGTGTTCTTACAAGCTGTACCTATGCCTTATATCCTTAATTATTCTCCCAAAAGGACCATCTTTGTGGCGGTTAGCTAGCCAGTAGGTCCACTCAATTACTAAGAGAGGCTCTTTTAGCAGGGCCTCTGTCCTGTTCCCTCGCAGTCGCCATCCCCTTGTATATGGCCCATGCTCTCTCCAGGTTCTGTGTGTGGCTGCCTGTTAATGGGTCAACAAACCACCGACTGTGGTTAAC